AATCAGTGGCTATTAGTATTGTAAACACATATTATATTATAATATTACACTACAATAAATATGTGTGTTATAATCCAGGAGTATTCGTACATAAATATTTTTTTCCACAGTAGTGAATTGCTAGTCGCCAAAGAACTTTCTGTTCCAGTAACTTTTTTTCCCAGATCTGGTGGATAGTACCGGCTGGAAACTTTCATTTTCACTGTCAGATGATTCATTATTAGAATCATCAGACAGTGGGTTCTCATCATAGCTCTGAATATAACTTAAGTTTTTAACATGTCATTCACTGTAAACACAACTGCTGAACAAGTAACCTGTAGAATGCTGTGTGGGTAATATTTTTATACTGATTTTTGTTGCATTTGAGGCCAAAAGTTACCAAACAGTGATAAATCTATAGGATTGGATATACTACTGAGCTGGCTTCGCATAGTTCAATTTATGTTCCGAGTAATCGCAAGAAATTACCATTACAATAGAAAACAAAAGACTGGCCCTCCCATGCAAATAAATTGCAAGTGCAATTCCTGGGATTGAAACATTTCGTTGACATAGATTTTGAAGTCACGGATGTAGGCAATGGATAACTTGGCATAAGACAAAATAGTTTATTTAATCAGCGCTGAACTAGAGATTGAAATTATAGTTACCTTTCCGTGAGTTTTTGGGGTGGTGGTGGCGCTGTCATATAAGTTGTTTATTTCAATTTCTCCTGAAGTCACATAGAATGCACTGGAGCAAGGATGTTTGGGGTGAAGTGTATATAGTGGGGTAAAGGTGGGTGTCATATAATTTGTTCATTACAATTTCTCATGAAGTCACATAGAATTTCACTTAATTTATTTTCAGAAAAATATTTTCAGTTAAAATAGGTATTCCACAGTACTAGAAGTGGTGGTTCGGATATATTCGAGTATCAAAATGACAAATGTTAGTTTACATTAGTAGTAACTTATACATGTACATTTGCATATAAAAAATACAATAAACAACAAGATTTAAATTCAAATACTTTATTTGCAAATAGTAATGATAAACAGTTTGTTACGTGTTCGTAATTGACAAAATATTGAATAAATATTAATATATGACTTCAAACTGAAAGTAAGATTGAGTGAATATTTTTATATAATTTCAAATGAGATACTAAACACAGTATAGTATAAAATATATATTTTTTAAAGAGAAAAATGATAATTTTTTGATAAAAATTGGAAGACAAAACTACTTACAAGGAGTAACAAGTCTATGAGGTTAAACTTTTCAAGGTATTGCAGCACAATGTACAAAGAAATGAGCGAGGGTTGAGAACTCATTAGATAAGGCCATAAAGAATATGTAATACTAATCTTGAGTGAAAAATAAATCGTAAAAAATGAAAAGGATTGTCTTATATAGCAATGTTAAAGAAATGATAATATGTTGATACCGTATGTTCTCTGTTAGCAGCGCATGTGCTTACGTAATTTGACAAAAGTGTTTGTATGTTCAAAATACAATATTTAGCTAGTTACAGTATATAACATAATAGAAAATTTCAATAAATCTGTGGACAGAATCCTTGTAAATTAAAAAATACAAATTATTTTAGCAATGGTAAAACTAGAACAACCCGATATATATTTTTGGGTGAAATAACATTTTCAACTTCCCAGCAGAAGCTCCATTTTAAAATTGAAATAAAACTTTGGACTGTTTATTAAACTAAAAGAGCATTTCATTATTAATTCAACTAACAGTATAATACTACAGTAATGCTGGGCCTTCCAGGAGAACGCTACATATTGCATATTCAGTACAACCTCTCTCTGCTGATACAGTTCACCTCCGCCGCCAAAAATGAAATCGGTGAATATATTATTCTTTTTTGACAAAAAAATAAATCACTGATTTCACCCAGAGGAGGGGAGTTGCATGACACGATTAGTTGAAATAAATAAATTAATATTCATGAGCAATGAAAAACTCGTCTATTCAGTAAAATTGTGCCAAAATGCTTTCCGATAGCACGCATAATAGTTTTAAATTGACTGATTCTATCGCTACGAGCTGAAAAAATAAACGAAAAACTGATGTAAAAGTGTTTTTTGAGATACGGTTTTGATCCAAACTATTGAAAGTAACCACAGTTTTTTTTTCTTTACCGTGATCAGAGCTGTGAAATTACGAAATTCATGGAGAATGCAGAGGAATGTACATATTTCACTCTAGTACAATTGCTCAAAATGTTTTCAGTAACTTTTATCAGTGACAAGTTACCTAATTGGTATGCATTTCGAGAAAGCACTGTGTGTGCATGCGCAGTTTGAAATGGAAAATTTTTGAACGCAATAAAATCACGCGTAGATCTCAGGCTCCAGCAAGAAATTGTGGCGTCAAACTGGTTGTCGGTTGATTTATTTTGCAATAGACATAATTTTAGGGCCTGTTACTATGTGATGTTTCTAAGTTTTGTTGAAGACTATTCTGTAAATAAATTGCTGAAATTATTTCATCTGATTGTAAAAGGGACGTTGCTGGTTCGACGATGGCCTATGGACGACTGACTTAGAAACGTTCCACCGAGATCGGACGGCGCCCTCTCGTGCCAATCCTTCACCATTGTATTTAAACGATTCATCATGTGGTGCGTTGTTACATTCTCCCTCAACACCCACGGAAAATGAAATATGGAAAGTAGGCCTACATTACACTTTCGTGAGTCAAACCCGGGATTCAACCATTAGTGGCGTTTCGGTAAAAAAAACATCGCAAAGCATGCAAATTCAACATTTTCAAACCAATATACTAAAACAGAAATGCGATACAAAAAAAGGATAAATATTACTTTTCAGTATACACATCTCTGTTAATACAACCCCTCACATATTCTACTCCCCATTATTCCTGCGTTAAATGGAATAACTTCTTTCCACGTAAATATTCTGAGTAAAATAGGCTGTTAAAATTGGCTGTTACATATACTCTTCCGCCAGCCAGGAAAATGTGTTTAATTAGCTCTCATTCAAGCAACAAAGCAGATTTCCCAGTGGGAGTGAAACTGGTTCGACTCTGCCAATAGAAAATACAATAAAATAATAACCTGCATAAAATACTGAATTTTGGAACAAATCTCGCATTAGTTACAGCACCAGAATACCACACAAATATCAGACGAAACATGAACACACTATATATTGTATTTCAGCCTGAATCATCTCTATTGCAATTAACCCCTATATGTACAACCATTTTCCACCCATGAAAACAAACTCTTAACACCACGCTAAAGCGTTTGGTAATAAAAAAAGTTTTTGTTGAGGCAACACTGTTCACAAAATCTCGGCGGCTACGTTTATTGTGGCGTCATGAGG